CCCCCCGCTCGAGGACCGCAGCGTGCTTTACCAGAGAGGGGTTTACCACCCCGACGGTTTCGCTCGCGAGGCCAAGTACGGCATCACGACCCTGGTCACGACCGATGAGGCCCTGAAGAAGTACCTCGACAACGTCATCAAGCAGCTCAAGGGTAAGTAAACTACCTCGACAACGTCATCAAGCATTTCTTCGGCAAGCAAGAAGTATCACGATAACGTCGCTAAGCAGCTCAAGGGCGAGAACGCTAAGCGGGAAGCTTTATGAGGACCTAGACATGGAGACAGGGAGAAACTGAACGCCCTTCTTTCTCTGTATAGATCGCGCGAAAATGCTACGGTCAAGTACCAAGGAGAAACCTATACGAGAAGGAGGAAGAAATAAACTCATCAGACGTTCAGATATTCCAAACGCAAGACGCGCCGAGATGTTGGTGGGAGCACTCAGGATCGGCGGGGCCCCCGAAACCACTTTTGACGACAATCGTAACATAGACCCCACCAAGTAGTTGGACGGTACATACGTGAACGCCTGTGCAGGAAGAAACAAGGAAAACTAGCGGGCTTTCTCTGCATGATAGCGCGCAAGAAGGGTTGTCGGACAAGACCGAGCGTTGTATATATCAACCTCTCCAACCCTGGCCACAAGACCTATTTCGGACCCCACCCCCCCTGGAGAATGACCCCCCCTCGGTGTTTGCCATCGGGGTTGGGTTTTCGTCGCTTGGCAACGACGTTGTAAAACAAGCCAATTCACTTCGTGAACTCGGCAACCAGGTTACCGTATTTTTTTTTACCTCTGTTTTTTGGCGGTAACCATAATGGTGGTCGAGTAGATCATGTTGTGCGGGGTCGAGAACCCTCTCTCCGCACAAGGGGGATGATTGCACCACGTTGCGTTACAATGGTCAAGCACCCTCGAGGCAATTATACAGTGCTAACAACTGTCTCAGGAAGTGAAAGCACCAGAAAATACATTGAGTCATACGCAGCTGTCATCCGTACGCAAGGAAGTAAGCACAAGATGCCGAACACCCTTAGCAGGATGCAGCGCACCCTTCATGCGNCCCCCTGGAGAATGTTGTTCCGTACAGGATTGTAGTGGTCCAACCCCTCACCTTTTCGCGCACAACGTTCTTCCTGCACGAAACATCAGATTCATGACGAAAGAGAAAAAAAAAAAATCACAAACTACGCTGTGCTGTGCGTGTTGTTGGCGTGCCAGAATGGTTGTTGGAGAAAGAGCTGCAGCGCCTGGTGCTCGTGATAGTTGGCACGGACTCGGGCGACACGCTTGAGCGGTGGACGTTCAACGTGCACAAGGAAGAGAGGCCCGCCCTCAAAGACGGCAGGTAAAGAAAATGTGCTGTTCCGTCTATGGTTTGTCCTGTTGTCTGCTTTCAACATTCCAAGTGGTCATTCCCAGTTTTGTTTGTGGTTGCTCATGTTTTTTTTTGTGGTCCGTGCGTAGGCCATGTGCTTGTAATTTCTGGAGGCATACCAAACCGATCGCCCAGGTGCCGTAGTTGGTAACCTCAAATTTGCTATGTATGACTGTTGTATAGGGTCGACTCTTCGAAATGGTGATACTCGTAGTCTGGTAGCGGAAAACGAGCAGCTGCTGCGAGTATGCACATGCAGGAGGGTAGAGATCACTGGTCCGAATGCGGAGGGAAAAGTGTCGTGTGCTTACCTTCCTCCTTGGTGACCCCGACGGGTGGGTAAAATATACCCCGAAACGGGTAGAGACTGGTGCCCAGACTATTGCAGAGGCGACGAAGAAAAAGAGGTACGACACACATGGCAGTTTTGATATGGCGCGTAGAGACTGGCGCCCAGACTAGAAGGGACGAAACAAAAGAGGTACGGAATACATGGCAGCTCTGATATCTCCAATCCACAAGGACCAGACGTTGGTTGTCGTTACATGTGCTCGTGGTGGTCGTTGCATGCACACGATGACCACCAACTTGACGACGACAACAATGTCGACGGCGATTGTTACAATCGCAGCAACGCCGGCGACCAGCAGCCGCGTAAGTCGCAGAAGGCCATCACGCAGGAGATCCAGAACGTTATCCGGCAGATCACGAGCAGCGTCACCTTCTTGCCTCTCTTGGACGAGCCCTGCTCCTTCGACCTCTTGGTCTACACCGGCAACGACGTGAGAGAGTGAGGGCGGGGGAGAGGGAGGG